GTACACATTTTTTCAGTTTCTTCATAGCTACGTAATGCCATTTTAAACTCAGTGAAAGTTAGTTGTTTATCTTTTTGAGTTATAACTGTCATGAATGGTTTGAATGATGGTGGCAAACCCTTCAAGACCATGGCTATTAGCAGCCCATCCGAGATAGTCTCACCTGCAATTTTTAAGGCATTTGTAACATTCTCCGTTCGGATGATATAATCAGTTATAAATTCATTTTCTCGTCTCTTTAATGCGGTTAGTTCAGTATATAAAGCAATAATTTTAGGCTTACCTTTTGACAAATAGTGTTCATGCAAAATTTGTAGAGCTCGCCTTCCATTGTCCTTGGCCTCTCTCATTATTAAAGACAAACTCCGGTCATCCAGGAATTGTATTAATTCAGGGAACACGGTCGCATTTCTTTCCATAAAATCATCATCCCCCTTCTGGTCATGTTTGCAAAGGATGATGTCATGGAGTTTTTGCATTCTGAGGTAGCCATAATTCATATCTCGATTCATTCCTGTCAAAATATAGTCGTGATCTGTGCTCATAACCAATGTTATTCATCATGACGGTCGTCTTTGCATATAGAATCCAGAGGTTAGCAGTGAATATTTCGAAGACAGTAGGAAAGCGTTGTTCAGATTAGCAGTGGATATTTTGGTAAAAAGTAGCAGAGCATACTTCGTCCTTCTGGTTCTCTTCACCTGACAAGCTGGACTGGACATTCGGGTAGAGTGAACAAAAATGGCTGCCTTTATACACGACGAATTGAATGTTCTACGTCTTCTGATTGGTTAACCTTCTATTGGTAGACTATAAAGGGAGTTAAGTCATTTTGACTGGCTCACTAGTTACATAACATATACACAAAAAACTGTAACAGACTTTCCTATGTTGAACTCAGCCATTAGTTACAATGAACTTTCACCAGTTTCATCTGTTTAAAATTTCCACTTTTTGCGATAACTGCAAAGTTGTTCTTTTTGTCTTATTACCATCATCTTTTACACCAATACAAGCCATTAGGGTGAAATAAACATAAGCAATTATCCAAAATAAATTTCCTGAAAAACAGAAATTTCAAATCGGTTACATATCACCTAAGTAGTTCAAATATACATATCAAAATCATGTCCAGATATGCAGGATTCCAGATATGAGGTACTCTGGATATGTAGGAGTCTGCTGTATTGAGAAATCCACTTTCTTGTATCTCTTTGACCAGCACACACATTTCTCTTTGTGATATTTACTTAAAACGCAGTAGTTTGATTATTTTCCTGTTCTCAGTCAGTGTTATTAATATTCTGTGGATTTTCTCTCTATTTGTATTAACATCACCAGATTCTTCAAATATTTTATTGCTAGTCAATTCCCTTGCTTTTAATTTTTCCAATATTTTTCTAACATTCATAAAACCAATTTTTTCTTTTCCTTGTCAATGTCCTCTTTTCTTTTTTTTTTGTTGATCTCTGCTCTATTCTTTTGCATAATTAGAATCAGATATTATAAGCTGAAAATTTATCATATAAACATGTCCTGAAAATTTTACATCAGTTGAGTAATATTTAATGTTTAAAATAGTGTAGTCTGATAAATATGGGTATAATAATAGTTTTTTGTCTCAATTAATCAGACATAAAAAGACTAGTTTTAAACTAATTTTCTGATCCTATACACAAATTACTTATTGTAATAAAATTAATTTTCTAAAAAAAAAAAAATAGGATAATTTGGAAAGATAACTTATAATATTTTCTGATCTTATGAATTTCTGACTGCTTAAAAATATTTGTTCTATGGGCAGAAAAAAATGACTGTGTATAAAAGTATAAACTGAAACTTGATAGCAAATCATGCAAAATAAAGAAACGATGTTAGTGAAAATTCTTCGGAGAATAAAAGTTATTGCTTATTACAATTTTACAAAATCCTTATGTTCTTTCATAAGTTCTAATGCTTTGGTTACCATACAGGTTACTTTAATGCTGCATTCCATTTGAGGATTGTATTTATTAATATTTTTCCGTTATCTCTTGAATAATTCTAATGGTTTTGGCAAATTTCTGTAATGTACATAGTTTTGGTTCTGCTTCAGTTTTTACCAGCAGATGACTTAAATTCTTACAGTTCCTTATTTGTTTTCACTTCCCAGTGACTTTCAATTTGTGCCTTCACTTTTTCATCAAGCATATTCATAAATCTTTATCTACTAACTTCTTTTGCTATATTTTCTCGATTTTTCCATTGATTTCAGAAAAGCCTTTAAAATCATTAACAATATCCCTCTGTTTTGGCCTTTTTCTAGCTTTAATTCATCAATTGCAGATTTGATGAATGTTATTGTATTCGCAATAGTAAATGTTTTATAGAATTACAAGAATATGATCGGCATCAATTGCTACCTGAATGTAATTAAATATCAGGCAGGTGTATGTTGCCTTAAAACACCAAATAGTGCCCTAGTCAAGTAACCAAAGCAATAAGGCAGCTTTGACATATTTATTTTATTGGCAAACAGATTATAGTTGGCCAGGAGCATTGCTGGTTATTACAAGAAGGTTAAATCCCAATCCAATCTTTTCCAAATATTGTTTTAATTTCTGGAACACAGCATTTTGTAAGCTGAGCTGTTGTCATTCACATTTTCTGATTATGGGCAGATAATTTTTGTTTTTTTTAGACCATATGGTGTTTTCATTTAGAAGATTAAACAAGGAATTAACATTACAGTGATGCCATATAATACTAGTGTTAATTTTTTCTTTTCATGATTTATGCCCAACTGCTTGCTTTTTCTCTAAAAATACAAAAATAAAATTACTCGTCAAAACAAAAACTACTATTAAATCTGAATAACCATTCCTTACTTGAAGTAAATGGCTTGGTATCACTAATAGCTGGATATTCTTTTCTAGAATCTTTGTATGTTCAGTACTTTATGATGCAACATTTGTCTTCTACCAATATGCTTTCTCCGTTTCTTTACTGTACATTTTTTTTATGCACCATGACAATATGGTCTGTTTTAGACACTAATTTCACTGGTCCTAGTTTCTCTTTCCTTAATAATTTTATAGATCATACCATAAATTTTTGCAACTTCTGCATACAGATATTTTTCCTTGCTAATATTGTAATTTTCATGACAAAAGTTAATCTGTGCTGTAACTATCATATTCAATCTAAATGTAAAAAATGAATTAAAACAAAATATACTATGAAACCAATTGCACTTTTATTTATAATGATAGCCTGTTTGTCAGCTGTTTGAATAATCAGGTTTTATTTGTTTTAGTTCTATTAGCGTTAAATATTATTTCTATTAAAGAGATCAACATTTATCATTATATGAAGAAAATTAAACCTATTTAAAATTCAAATAAACAAATAAAAATAATGCACAAATTAAGAGTAATTTTCCATTAAATGTTTAAATGTTCAATTTTAATTTCTTTTGTATATGTTGACTTTGTTTAAATTATTTTACTTATTTACAGTTAAATAATCTTATACAATTTTGTAATATTTCTTGATTAAATTAAAACAATATATATAAATATATTTTTATTTTTTGTAACATCTATTTTCTTTAATTTTTTGAACAAAATCTTTTGCCAGGTTTTCTCGAGATACTGGATTGAAATTTCTGCACAATGCAAGAATCCTATACAGCAAACATTCTTTCAGAAACTGTTCATCTGGAGGAGAGTCAATTCAGTAAATGTTTTTATTGTCAGCAGCAATTTTCCAACTTAGAACCACAAGTTGCTGACCATCCAGGCACAAAGCCTTTTCACTGTCATGAATGTGATGTTAAACTTTTCAAAATTAACCATTTCATCAACCACATTACTGTTCACAAAATCCATTCAAGCAGCAAACCATTTAACTGTCCATATTGTGATGAAAAGTTTGACAATGTGGCTGGATTTACTGAACATGTAAGCACTCATGTTGAAGCAAAACCTTTTAAATGTCCCTATTGTGAAGAATCCTTTGACTTTGAAAATAATTTGGAAGGTCATAAGATTATTCATGAAAAGATGGCCAATACTCTTATGAAATGTGAATCTTGTGAAGATCAGTTCCTTATAGAGAATTTTGTAAATGCCCAACCTGGTATGAAACCATATACTTGTGAAGTTTGTCTGGAGACATTCACTGATATTATTGAACTTTGCCAGCACAGAGCAATCATCCATACTGGTTACCCTTACAGATGTGCACAATGTCGTAAAGTAAATGCAAATAAAGATAAGCAACATGAACAAATGGATTCTAGTGACACAGAAAACTTGTCCCAAGCACTTAATATTTTAGGCCATCAAGAAAATGCTGGGGCAGCAATTGCTGGTGTAAATGTCATTGGGGAAGCAAGAAAAAAAAATACTGGACAAACCAGAATGCATAACTCAAATGTTAACAATAAGTCAGAGAGTTCGTTTAAAAACCAGTTGTCAAATGATGATAATTCACCTGAGGACATAAAACCAGACATTATTGAATTGAACAGAGATCTTGAGAATTATTCAAATAATCAAGCTGTTTGTATGGATATTTCTCAAGACTTTGCATCTGAAAAAGTGCAGCAGAATGGGATGATGAATGTTACTGTTTCTTCAGATTTAATATCACATGGCAATGATGTCGAGGCTTGCAATATTAACATGGATATCAATCAATATTCTGATATATTCAACCGCTCCACTGATAAAATTAATATAAATTCAACACAGATCTCTCTTTCAAATGAAATACAACCAAATTTGAACACTTTCCAGAAAAAGGCAACTCAAGAACTGGAAATTAGCACATCTAAACCTCGAGGCAAAAGAAACACAACCATGTTAAACCAAACTGTTGATACATCATCAGCAGGTAATATGATGTACACAGACTCTCACCCAAGTGATACAAATGAGGAAGGTCGACCTTTCCCAGTTTTGTGTGTCAGAGTGCCACCTACACTGAGTAATGATCAATCGGAGATTAGTCCCAGTATGATTCTTACTGATGGCCCATGCTCTTTCCGTACAAGCACCATGACAACAGATATTAATACAGTACGGCCAGTTACAAAGGTAAATATAATTTGAGAAAAACAGTTTCTTTACAAACGTCTTGTACTGAACATCAGAATTTTGTTTTTCTGTCACTCTTATTAGTTTCCTTCTCATTTTATCTATTCTATTCTTTTTTTACAATTTCGATCTTACAAAAAATAACTCATAAATAATTTTTATTAAAAAAAAAAAGAAAAAAAAAGAAAAAAAATAATTAAAAAGAAAATTTCAAATTGATCGTTTTGAGTTATTTCCCTTGTTATAATAACTATAAATTGACACTAATATTCAGAATTTAAAACGATTACTTGGTTACTTATTTTAGTGCATCATTTTACTTACAATTATTGACACGTGATGCAAACAATAGTCACTATTATTTAAACAAATTAACCATAAATAATCAACAATGCTTTTTTATAGCTGTCTGTCACTTATATAATTGCCAACTAAGACTGTTTTAACATTTTTATAATCTTTTATCAATTGAAGACGACATTAATAAAAACATTTCACTTTGTTCGTTTCATTGTAGACAAAAATGGCAGCAAATTTTTCTCAACTGAATTATTCAATATCATCTTCAGATGAACATTCGCCAATAAAAAAGAAACGTGCACGAGGGCCGCAAAAACCATGGCATTTTAAGGAAAAAATTTCGATGGATGTTTTGCAGGATATCGTGGTGGACTGGAGGATTAGAGACAGACAACACACTGGGGAAGGACAAAAAGTTAGGTATGAGTGTCGTCATAAAAGGAAAAACATGCAAAACCCATGCGATGCCGAAATGTTGGCACACTATCTTCCAGACAGTTCTGATATTAACATATATGTCCATGGCACACATGATCACTATGAAGCACTTCCTCATAAAGGCTTGAGTACCAAACAGAAGGAATTTGTTGTCACACAATTTCAAGCCAAAATTTGCAAGCCAAAACAAATACTTCAGGCATTTAATGATCATAAATTGGAATCTCCATCACTAGACCAACTGAAGAATTTTTTAGTAAAATACAAAAAGGAACAGTTTAGTGGATATCAGCTTTCTTTAGGTAAATTACAAGAAAAGTGCTTGGAAATGGAAAAATCAAATGACGCTGGACCCGATACACCTTATGTGCTTTCATTTCACACTGACTCAGAAAAAAAATGTTTTCAAATTATTTTGACTACAAACCGTTTATTGGAGCTGTCATCAGCACTGAAAACCTTACATGTGGATGCTACATATAAATTGACATGGAATGGTTTTCCAGTCTTAGTTGCTGGTTGCACAGACTTAAATGAGGTTTTGCATCCCTTAGTCATGTGTATTTTTAGCAATGAAAAGAAAGATTCATTTAAATATTTATTTGACACATTGAAAGAAAAAGTTCCTACATTTGATCCTCTATATCTTGTTTCGGATGCTGCAGATTCAATCAGAAATGCTGCAATAGAGGTTTGGCCAAATGTCAAACTTATAACATGTTGGGCACATGTATTAATAAATTTGGATAAGAAGCTGTTATCAATTCCTGCTGAGTTCAGACAGAAGATTAGACATGATATAGAACAAATACAACTGAGCCCTTCTTCCAAACAGTTCCAAAACTTGAGTGAACTCTTTTTTGAAAAATGGAAGAAAGAAGCAACAACCAGCACCTTTTTGAAGTACTTCAAAAAGGAATGGATTGCAAAGAAGAATACTTGGTTTGAGGGATATGCGATTGGAGTTCCATCAACAAACAATGCAATCGAAGCCACTAATGCTCAAATCAAACGTTCAGGTACACTACGGGAACGATTGCCTTTGGGTCGATTTTTAAAAACCACTGCTGAAATTTGCCATAACTGGTCAAGAGATCGAAATCCGAATTACAAAAATACGAAAGTGGTGGTCAATGAACCAACAATTCCAATGGAAACCTGGCTGAAAGCATATCAGCTGGTAAATGAGAAGCGACAAATTTCGGTATCTGATGACGAAACAGTATGGGTATTTGAATCAAAGAATCCACCACCAAATGACAGTCTTGAGGGTTTTGACAGGGATGTGAGAATCATGATGTCCAACTGGAAAGTAGAAGTAAAAGACCCATGGAAAACCAGCTTTTGTACGTGCCCAACATTTCTGAAAAATCACCAGTGTCACCACATAGCAGCTATGGGCATAATTTCCAAGAAAGCATTGAATGATGAGAATGCAGCAAGAGCGAAAGCTATCTTTCTTGAACGGAAGAAGAAGCGAGGCAGGCCAAGGAAAGCAACATCTGCTATAATAGTCGACTAAAGTTGCATAAGTCTTATGAATAATTTGCGTATATTTATAATAAATTTAATTTAAATTCAGAATAAATAATAAATTTACATCATTTCAAGTTTTTGACATTTGATTTAATACTTTCCACCCATTTTTATAAGGTTTGAAAACTTGTTTAAGTAACATAGTAATCAATCTATTTTAGACAAATTATGAAATAAGTAACGAAGTAATCATTCTAAGTAATGCAGTTAATCGAAATAAGTGCTGCATCATTTGTTTTGTTACAAATTGTGACGTTTTATGTTCACTGGAAGCAAAAAATGAAGTATTTATTTCAGAGAACAATACAATACAAACTGGAAATTTTAAAATATTATTGCTAGTATTGTTTAAAAAAATAAATAAATACAAGATTATTTCCATTTGGTAATCAAAAACTTTGCTTGTATTCATTATATATATATATATATATATATATATTTTATTTCACATTAATTTTATTGAATGAAATATTTAAAATTTTGTTCCACTATATTCTCCCATCTTTTAATCCACTTCATAATTCTATCCTCTTAATTATTTTTCTAATAAATTGACACTTACAAGGAATTCAATTTTTTTCATTAAGAGAATTATGTAAAGATTGAAATAAATGGTAATTTAATGACAGAATGGGTAAAAAATTTATGTAACATATTCATCCTTTAAAAGGACATAATCTTATTAATGTTCTTCTTGATGAAAATATATATATGATGAAATAATAATAATAATAGTAGTAGTAGTAGTAATGCTACCTATTGATATACATAAAATTTTATAATTCAACATATATCAAGGCAAACATAATTTGTTAAGAAAGTACTCAACAGTTACCTAAAGCAATAATTGTATCAGAAGTAATTTAAGTTCACAATTGTCAGATATTGATTTGTAGTTTTGTGATTTCTCACTTGTCAACACTTGGATAAGAATGATGGAATTAGGGGAGTGGAGAATATAAATGAAAACATCTCTTATAATTATGCACCAAAAAAAAAAAAAAAAAAAAAAATATGCTGAAGACAGAGGGATGGTAAATTTAAATTTTAAAATTTCTGGTGTTTTGTGTCTAGATGCAGCAACCCAGCAGATTTTATTTAGTTTTCCAATTTTAAAAATCCCACACTGCAACAACAAAAGATTTCTTAAGACTCAAAAATTAGTGCAGTTTCTGTACATTTTTGACTTAGTAAATTAGTTTCACTTTCAATTAGCTTGAATCTTCAGCATTTCCTCTCAGTACATTTGTAAACAATGTTTTCATTTATATTTGCCCTACTCCCCTATATATCTATAATTCCTTCAGTAAGAACCATATTTTAGTCAATTGAATGGCAAAGTGACTTCATCAAACCTCATTGTTCTGACATATAAAAATTTATATATCATATTCTGTAATAATCTGTTGGTGTAATACTTCCTGAATATGATCGATGAGTGAAAAATTCTCATTGAATCAGAATTTCTATTAGGTTGCTAAAGAAATACACATTATGTCATAATCATGATAAAATATTAAGCTACCTTTCTTAACAGATTCTAGTTGCTTTTTGTCAATTGCTGTCTTTGTTTCATCTAATTAAGATTAGTATATTTCATAGTGAAGGATTCTCTTCTAATTTCAAGCTTTGTTATTTATAGTGAGGATTCATCTTGCTTACTACATAATTTGTATTTCACATTGTTGTAAAGTTTACATCCATCACAAAAAAAAAAAAAAAAAAAACCACTTTTCTCTTATGTAGAAGCTACACATGAAAGTGACTAATACAACCACTCTGGTACAAATGATTTTCAATGCTTAATTTGAACATTCTGAGTATATTGGCAATCTGCATCATTGTATAACATTGATTATTTTCGGTAATTTCTTCAATTGACTGCTCTACTTAACAGAACATTATTCTTCAAGCAACTTCCAGCATAAAACTTTGCAAACCAATTTTGGCCTATTTGCTTATCTACAGTACTGTTTCCATATATTGACAAATAATTTTTAATATTTGAGTCACATTTTTTTTTTACCTTTCTTAAAAAAAAAGCATAACATGCCAAAATAGCTTTTGTTTTCTTCTATCATCAATGTTACAATCAATAAACAAAAATGTGCTAATGCTTACATATATGACAGCTGTCACAATACAATTGAATGAATTCACTCCTAATGACAAAAACAGCAAACATTTTTGTCAAAATTAATACAGTGCAAAATGCAATGAGCTTATATCTCTATAATTTAAAATATAACCATTCCTGCTTATCCAATAATCATCAAAACAACAAAATAAACTGGAAATAAGTGACCTTTCTACCAATAATGCATTCAAGCATGAAACAGACTGTCACTACTTGTTGACTTGAGTGTCCACTGTTTTTTATATATATATATATATATATATATATATATATAAACAATATATAATTTTGTATATCAGCAAACAGTATTTAGAAAAATATGTAAACTATGTCATGTTTATATATATTGAAAATCCAATTGATAATGGTGTATAAGACCATTTAAGTTTTTCCAAAGTATAAATTTTTGTGATTCAGTTGAAAGAATAGACCCATAATTGATTTCAATGTCTGAATAAAAATTTGAAATTTAGTGACATTTTTTAACAATTGATTCATAGAACAGTTTTTACTAGTAGTACCCATGAACATTTCATGGTGTTGCTTTTTGAATTTTCTGATGAATCAGTTATTAAGTTAATGATTGAATAAGTTCCACAATTATATACCTGTGAAAATTCTCCTATTATATAGTTAAATATTTGAGATTAACAACTTTAACAAAATATTGCAATAACATAATAAGTAAGAATACAAGTCATTTAAAGAAATAAGAGGGTACAAATAGAAAGATTAAAAACTGACAAGGTTTTCCATTTCACTGAAGCAGAAATTACATGAACACATTATCACCTGAAACTAAATAGTTTTTCCTCAAAATCAAAATGGAATAGTCCATTATTTTTTAGGTATTGACAGAGCATAACACGCATAAAAACTAAGGAACAAGTATAATTATAATTCTCCTTTTGATGATTACTTATAGAACTGAACAATAAGAGAGAGAGACTGGTTCAGCATAAACCTCACCCTCTCTCTGTTGTTATCTAGTATTAGTGATAAGACCTTAAAATGACTACCAACAGAATATGCAAATATATTTAGAATTTTAATTTTTTTTTCTTTTTATATCGTGGTCTAAAATGAACCCATATGAAATGTCTTGTTGGTTCTATTTTGTTCAACCTTTATACACCAGAAAAGTTAAGACTGAAAAAGAAAAAATAAATGAAAGAAAATAAGGTAAAACTACTTAAAGTGATTGTTCTTTCAAAATATATTTTTTCTATATTTTTAGAATGCAGCCAGGATGAGTGGCAATAATGAGAGGAGGATGAGAAATCCTCACTACCAAATGACAAGACCTCCTACAACTGCTGATTATCAACTTGCAACAAGTACAACTGGGACTTTAGGATTTTCCCCCCTGCAAAGGTTGCCGACCAATGCAGAGTTCCAGCTGTCCACCAAAAGCACAACAAACAGCTTTACAAATACTAGCCGAGTGAATCCTAATTCACTCCAAGTCACATCTCCAAGAAGATGCCATGAATGTGATATCTGGAAGAAAATGATCACCGATACAGTGAGTAAGTTGGCAGCTAAAGAGGCTGACTGTGAGGTGCATGTCAACCGCATACAACAATTGGAACAACAACTAAAAGAATCTGGTAAGAGATACAAAAATTACCTCTTAATCAGAAGTCTTTCTCATCAAATTTGAACCTTGATTCTACAATAACAAGGTTTAAAAAACAAAAAAAAAAAAACAACTCTTTAAAACTCAAACTAGTAGATGACAATTATATTGTTTAAAAAGTAAATGTCTACACAAACAGGTGTATCCACTAAACATAATATATGCAGTAATAAGAAATAATGTTGGATTATAAATAAAAATCCATTAATTCCTAAGAAATTACTTTAAGTTTGAGATATGAAAATAAAATTATCCAATGTGCTCTTCAAAACATCTTAATGAGAGATGTACTTTGTCATTGAGCCTCACTTCATGAAAGACCTTTGCAGGTCAGTGATCTGAAAGCACACCAGTGGTTTCCCCTACATAAGGGGAATGCAGGTTTGAAACCTGCCAAAAGGCACATTTTCTTAATTAAAGATTCTCAAAAATCCAGACTAGTAAATGACAATTATTCTTTTCAAAAAACAGATGTCTACTCAAACAGGTATATCCACTAAATGTAACATTTATAGTAATGAATAATGTTGGATTATGAAGAAAAATCCATATCAATATGTTCAATCATTTCAAATGCAATTTATTTTTCCAATGACAACTAATGAGGTATTCTTGCATTTCTAGAATCTATGTGGTTTTAAATTATAGTTACTGTGTACTCAAATATCTACACTAATTTTTTTCAAGTTTACATTCAATTCTAATCTGACAACTCATAAAAGTTCAAGTAATTTTTAAATGTATCCTTTTTTTTTTTATATCCCTTGACTAAAATTACCTTTCCCAGCCAAATATTAAAAATTGAAATAATAGATGAAAGAAATACTGATAAAAAAAATGATTGATAAATTTAAATAATGCTTAAATAGTTATCTCCCCTGAAAGCACAGACTGGATTTTGCAACAAATAGCTGCAGAAATTATGATGAAAGAAATTGATAAACATATCTGCAATGCGTCATTCAAGCAATATATAAAAAAATGTAGCTTGTTATGCTTTATGGAATTGTTACATTTTTTTTTTATTCAACACAGAAGTTTCTTGGTATAAAAAGAATTCTATTCTTTGATTCATTTTAGATGGTTAATTGGAAAGCCTAATCTTAATCAGGGTTTCAGTTTCATTGAAAGAGATGTTACTCACCCTCCCCACCGCATCTTTTTGGCTTTGAGTCTCTTTTTTGTTCCAGAAAAATTGCTACTTCCTGTTCTTGAACTGCATATGCATTTCCCCCAAATACAGTTTTTGTGTTGATCAAGAAGAAAAGGAGAAAAATTCGGATATATAGATTTAGACATGATGAACATGCACTCCCAAAATAGTATTCAGTAGCAACATTCTGGTGGAGAGACGGCTGAAACGTTGTAAAAAGAAAAGCAACACAAACACACAACAAAAATGAGGAAGTTACTTCACAGAAAACCATACACAATGATTAAAAAACTTCATCTCCCAAAAATGAGCGTGTTGAAAAATTATGTACCAAGGGTAGATAACTCTTATAATATCTATCGTCAAAAATCTTAAGGAAGCTGCTCAACTCCCAAACATTTTAAATTCCTTGTAAATATTACCCCATTAAATACAGTAGAAATTTCTGTCATCTTCAGCTGAACCGCAGAAATGCAATTATGAACATTACTTTTGTCTGCATTTAATCAGTTAACTCCACCATTCATGGATCCTAATTGAAGCCTAATTTTTTTATTACCTGTAATTAAATTTGGCAGTTGTTATGAAATAATATTGCACACCTCATAGCTATATCATATCATTGCATAGATAATGGGAGACAGACAAAAACAAGGGCAGAAAGTGAATGACAATGGTAGGATTTAAGATAAATATTTATTATTTCACTTTTTGTGCAAGTATGTAATAAAGCGAAAACCACAAAGGAAAATGCATTCATTTGTTTTGCTAAAATTTAAGTAGGAAAATCTCTAACTGTGAAAAATATGACATCAGTAGTATGCAGTTATCAATGATGTTAGCACAGTTTCAAATTTGTCATTTATAAATAAAAACAAGGTAAAGATAACCTTTTTTAAAAATTGGGTGACAATTTAACAATGTACTTATTAACAGGATCCCACTCCTAAAATGATTTAAAAAAAAAAAAAAAAAAAAAAAAAAAAAAAAAATCGATATTTTTCTATTCTGACAGACATTATTTGAATGAATACTAATCAACAAAAATTGGCTATAAAAATTCTTTGCCAATTTTTTTTTTTTTTTTTTACAAGTGACCCATTTCCCTTTAGCGGTGCCTATTTTCTTTTCTATGAAGATATATCCTTAGAGAAATTAAATCAGCTGAAATTTTTTTTGAAAATCTATTAGGTGCAAAAAAAAAAATTCTAAATTGGAAAATAAAATTTACAATAAGACTAAACTATTGGTTTGAGAAGTTTGCTGTTACTATCCTGATGGCTGTGAAAAAAATTAGTCATTCAAAAATTAATCTTTTAAAAGATTTATTTTCAAAAATCAATTTGTTTATTGATATTTTAAAATGTTATTTGTGATCACATCTGAAGTTCGATTAAATAAAGTGGTTTCAATAATTGAGAAATATAGTTTAATGAAATCCAATGATGCAGAGAGCTTTTACAGAATATTGTGTGTATATTGTATATATAGAATGTAGACATTAAGCAATTATCTTCTAGAAATCACTTAGTCTTGTTTTAAGTAACTTATACCAGACAAGTAGGTTCAGTATGGCAGTACAGTGAAAACTCTGTAACAATCATCGCACACCAGAGTTATATTTTTGGTTTTAAGAAATTATGATTTTTAAGTTTAAATAAGGGAATTTAAATTCCAACCAAGAAAAATAAGTGACAAAACAACCACATATCAAGGTTTACAAAAATTGAAAATGCTTAATATTCAAGTTTTGTATCTCTAAAAATGCCTAATAAGTTTAAGTTGAAGCATATCCAAGTTTTCTATTGTTTTGAATTTACTCTATAAGCATATATCTATATAAAAATGATGCTCTTCTTGTTCCTTCTGTCTTAGTGAATCAAGTATCAACGCTAAATGATGCTCTTCACTCTCGGTCTGGTGATTGCCAACAATACCTACAGCGGATCAAACAATTGGAACAGCAGATTTTGCAAATAATGCAACAACAAATACCTCAACAACAACCACCATCACAGCAGCAACAGTTACAAAGGCAAACTGTAGCTGATATTAACACACCCCAATCATCAGGTAACTGATACATTTATCTTTATTTCAATAGAGAAGAGTAGAAGATTAATAGTCTTCTCCAGAACTATTTCTTTTCTATATTGTACACATTTGTGTTCACAGAGTTGTCAGTTTATCTTTCATTTGTTTCTTTTTATATCTATATTTTATCATTTCCTTTGAATGCTTCTTAGCCATTGATTCCACCATGACAAGTCTTCCTTTTTTTTTCTACTTCAAAGCTCTTTGATCATCACTATCATGACCTTGTGTGGTCATATGGCCACTGAACACCTGACTAGCTTCCTCTATACATATGCTGCAAGCTCTTTAATACTCACTTGCTATTAATGATGTCCATCTGTTGTCTAACTTGTTTAGCCTATCTTAACTCTTGTAGTTGACTTTTAGACCAACATATTTGAACATTGTAATATTTCTTGTACATTTATTCATATGATTACAGGATAATGTATCAAGAGCACTTCATTTCATTGCTCTTTAATGACTGCAGGTTTTGTATTTCTTGTAAATCCGTATATTTCACATTGGTAGAACTCTACTGCCAAAGTGTAGGATCATAATTTAGTCTCTTTGATTAAACAATTTTATTTCTTTTAAAATGCCCTATTCTGTTGAAGTTTGTCTATTCAGCTCGTTTCATGTCATGTTTGCTATTAAATGCTTGGCCAATGTATGTGAATAATTTCACTTTTTCAAGATCCTTATTCATTCTTTCTTGACTTTTAGTAAATTTTTGCTTGTTTTTATTTTTTTTTTTTTAATTTTTATAGATGTAAATATTAAAGAAAAATTTCATAATTTTTTTTTTTAATTGAAAAACTTTTGTATTTTTATAGATCCCCCTCGTTGTGGTTCTCCAATAACATATGAGTTTGGGAGACCACGAGCAGGTTTTGGACTTAGCAAAACTGTGGTTGAAAAATATAAGGTAAGTTTTTATTTTTTTTAAAAACCTAAAATTACAAGTATTAAAATTTAGCACAAATCTTATCAAAGTCTTAATCTATTGCAGATGATTGACATTGGTCAAGGTTTATATGTTCATCCTGATGATTTGGCTGTTGTACTGAGCAAAGCAGATGGACAGAAAATGGTACGAAAACTGATGAACATTGTATTTAAAAAGGAGGACCTTGAACAGGGAGCAACATTGTCTCCTACAGGCAAAGGCAAATTGCTTGATCAAAGAACAGTAGATGTCATGTTAGGTAAGAGAATTACCCCATCTACCTAATAAAAAGTGTCACATAATAAAACTGATCAAAAGAAGTGTGAACGGTAATACCATATTCTGCAGCTTGGAAGACGCACCCAATTATTGGAAAGAAATTTCTAAGAAAAAAGTCATTCTCATACAACACATTCACTATGTGTGTTTGTATGGCAATGACATACTAGTCAAGAGCAGATAAAGCTCCCACTGCTGCTAGTAAACAGAGCATGTTTAAGCTTGTGGCTCAGCTCCAGGAAGGTTTATAGTCTTGGAAATACTTGTAACAGCTAAGTACTGAGGTTACATCATATAAAAGGCTGAATTAGCTAACATTATAGTGTAATGACTCTAAATACAACTCCATGTCCCTATCAGTCAAGCCAATTAGGTGACCATCCAAGCTTACTTGAACCTGGATGTTGCCTTACATTTGTCTTGGAAGATGCACAGACATTTTTCAGGAAAAAAGTGTGTCTTGTAAGCCGAAAAATACAGTATTTTATTTTAATTTTTTTTGATAGCTCATACTATTGGTAGTTATGTCCAATATATGCCTTTGATAGCTGACTTATTGCTGAAAAAACAGATTGTGTTACTGTGTTAGGAGATGCCTTTATCACCAACTGGTTGTGTAGATAGCCAAGAAATTCATCGTATTTCAATCACATCAGTATTATTGTTATTGAAGCCATCATGAAGAATTATTAAAAAAAAAAAAAAAACAAACTTTGCTCATTTAAAACTTCATCTCAATTCAACAAACTTCTAATTGGTAAGAAATCAATTAAAAATTATTGATAGTACATTGATTTAGTATTTTTAGGAGGATAAAAAGTTATTGAAACAAGCTTTATTTAGAATTTAATTCTTCACAATGTATTTGCACATTAAGCTTTCAAAGAACAGTTCAAATGGAAAAGTTATTAGACTAATGTTGCAGCACTATATACGTGTGTGTGTGCGTATATATATATATATATATATATATATATGATATATATAATCATTAACATTAAATAAGAGTTTTAACCTACTCTAAGTAGATAGGATATTCAAAGTTACAAAAATGACATTGGAAATATTCTTTGTGGTGTCCATTAAATTGTTCCTTTGCCATTTCAGCGTGGGTATTGATGAATCAGTCAACAATGTGGAGCCGTGGAAGTCTCAGACAAGCAATTAACCGAAAACTCACAAGTTATCGCTGTAGAAGCTTGAAGAAGAAGCTTGAAGCAAGTTAATAAAATGTTTTATATAAAGAGTTTTTTTGTTTTTTTTATGCTATATATATATATATATATATATATATATAGCATATTTATTTTTAACAGACTTGGAGAAAAAAAGAAAATGGTTCTGAAATAAGAATGTCATTTTCAGTTTTACTTTTTAAAAACAAAGTATTTTTTTATTAACATGCTTTTCCTAAATTTGCTACAGAATGAAACAACACAGCCTTTAAATAATATAGCTTTTATGACTTGGCTTAGAATAAAGTGAGAAACTTAAATATAAATGTTATATTTTTCTTCAGTATGGTTTATCAATAACTATAAAGAATCATGGGTTAAATTTCACCTAACTTTTGAAGTGTTGATATCTGCATGGTAGACTATTTTTAATATAAGTTTTAGCTGATTTTTTTTATTTTTTTTTATCCCAGGCTGATGAATAGATGGTAAGGAAAGTAATTCAAAAAGAAAGAAAAAGTAATATGCCTCCATGGATAAAAATAAACACACACAGGAAATTGTTTTTAAAAAACATTTTTAAATGACTTTTATTATTCATGTATAGGAAGAATATCCACAGGATTATGCATTTTATTTCTTCATGACTAAATGATGACAGCAACATGCAAGAATACTTGAAGCTGACAATTCATGTAAAATAATTATAATCATGATAAAAATACACCAATGGAAATAATTAAAAATATTTCTCTCCATGTAGAGAGACTCCAGCATTAAGGGAATAAGAATACATTAGGTGGGAGGAGAAAATGGAGTTGGGGTGGGACAAAAAATATTTTGCAAAATTGATAGCAGTCCAACATTGAGGGAGAATTTTCTAGTTCCCTGAAAGAAAGCTAGAACAATGATCAGCACTTGGGGAAAGTTGTTTCAAAAGATTGAGAAAAGGACAACCAAATGCTTGGGTAGCATCAAATATTTGACTCTTCTTTTAATACTGGACAAGGCTTTTTTTTTTTTTTTTTTCCAAATGTAAATTGCATCATATTTAAAAAATATATATTTTTTTTTATCTTCCATTGCCACAAAAATGAGTTGTGTGGTTAATCTCAAAATTAAATTATGCATAAGAGTGACACTGATATTTTAGTCTCAACTGAGAAAAGAAAGCAAATAAACTATTAATAGTTGTGCAAATTTTGCTTTGCTAGAAAAATAAGCTGATAAAAAATAGGTTAAAGCAACATGAATGCTTGATTGTCTAAGCTAGCACTGAAAACAACAGTAGTTATAAAATACAATATCTTGCCCAATAAAAATTAAAGATGTTTCAAGGCTTGAAATCAAATCAACATGCTATGGTATGGGAAACTGGATTTAAAGTACAAACCCATAATACCAACAGGGATTGAAATAAAATAAAAAATAAACAGTGTGAGGGGATAGTTGAATAGAAGACTTCATATTTCTATTCAAATTTTAAATGCAAGATGTTTTAACAAGACCAAGTTTCACAGTGATAGGAACCTTAGTTTCACACAAAACTTTAGAAAGGAATACATTTTGGAATGAGTTGATATTGAAGAAGTTTTAAAATTAATACATTCCATTTAAAAATGACCAATTCTCCTTGAATTTAGTTGTGCTCGGTTTATAGTGTATGTGAATTGCCAATAATCAAATCAGTTTCATTTTGTGAATAAAAAAAAAAAAAATTTCTCAGTCCAGTAACCATAAAACCACTTATAAATTCTATTATACTGTGATCAACAACTTTTTAAAGAATCCAGATAAGTCAAAACCTGGAAACAGGCAGACAAGAAAATAAAACATTCTGAGTGGACAACCTGCTAAAATGTAAGAAATATTATTGAAAATGCATCAAAGGGTGTTTGAAAAATGACACAAACAATAAGCCATGTACAGCAAGCATCAAAATCTTCTGTTTAAAACATCTTGGCCAGTAAGTTGCATACTGGCATGAGCTAAGCTGAAGCTGTTTGTGTAAACACTGAAAAGTCAGATGCCAGTAGGAAGAGATGATCCTCTGATCTGTGAGAGACAAGAAGCACTTCAATCTTGGATATTTTTTGTTTTCAACCTTATCTATAACAAGAAACACTGAAAAGAGTTGTTCATATGTTTGTTGGCAAAGGAATTACTGTCTGAGGTAATATGAGCTATAGGCTATGTTGTCTAATTATTGTTAATGTTACTTTAACAGCACTCAAGTACCAAGAGATGCTAAACTAACTTCACATATTTTAGCATGTCAATGTTGTCATTCTACAAAGACAACTGTTTCATATCTTTTTTTCATCTGTAATGAAGTAGCTTGATTTGTTTTCAGACTTTGTTCTCAAGGAAAGTGTTTAAAGAATAATGGCAAGAGAGGTGTACACTGGCAACACTCATGTTCCACTCTGGAAAAGCTGAAACAGATTATCACAGATGCAGTGGGAGGATCTCACAATCTGTATTCTCTAAATGTCTGACAGATTGTACCATTCAGGTTTTGAAGGCAAAATATGCAGCCACAAAGTATTTACTTTTTACAAAATAATGTTTTAATGAAGACTATTGACAAGTGCACTGTTTTTATAGTTACTGGTCATCATTCCCTATATATATAAATAAAATGCAATCTTCTAAAATAAAAATAAAAAAATTTACAAAATACTTTACAAATATTTTCTAAAAATTCAAATTTGCTTTTAAGTAAAATCCACAAAAGAAAAAAAGTGTTTTCATAATTTCTGGACTGAGTGTATTTTAGAAATAGAATTTTATAATATCTAAAAAGATGAGAAGGTATGCCTGAAGTTTTACAACTTCTGTAGTTTTTTTTTTTTTTTTTTGCTTTACATATTTAACCTACTGATGGAAGGCATAAGATAACAAATTCCCATTCCCAAAGTAATTATATTTTGAATTTATCCTCCCCTCTTCAAAAAAAATATTAGTTTCATTATATGAACATACATCAACTCTAGTATAATTTTGAATTACGACATTCATCTAATAAGAATATACTGAAACTTTATATTATAGAGTGATAGTGAGTTTTATTTACTTTCATAGACTCTGCATGGGTTCTAGTGTCACCAAGCAAATCATCAAATAAAATAATGAAAAAGAAATTGACAAAGTGTTCATGTATTTAGAGAATTCCAACTAATTTCATTGACTTGATCATTGCAAAGTTTTTTTTTTTCTGTGTCAACAAATTGAATGCAAGATATTACTGATTTGTTTATTTAATATATTTTTACAGAGAATATTTACTGGAGAATTTTGTATGTCAGAATGAATGCAAGCTGCAAAACTTGTTTTCTAATCACAATATTTCTCTTTGTAGAATTAAAAAAGGTTTTGTGTTATGCCATAAAACAGTGAAATAAGCAAAAAACTGAAATTAACATTTAAAGGCTAATTGTAATTTTCATCCGATTACCAAAATCTATTAAAGCTTGGAAATATAAATCTGAGTTTAAATGCATTGTAATCACAATTATTCCTATTAGATATCAATAAAGAGACTGGTCATATAAGTTGTACTTGGCAAACAACCTAATACTTTGAGATTAAAATGTTCACATTAGGGATTATTGAATAGTATAAAGAATTACACCAGAATATAAATCAGGTATAGTAACTGTTTTTTTAAATGAAGTATTTTCAGCTAAAATGTGTAGCAATGTGACATTTCAAAATGTTAGTTGCCCAGCCAAATTTGTTTAAATTGAGTCTGGGAAGAACAGAAAAGGAAGACAAAGAATGGTATATTGATGAAACCATCAATATGGATACCTTTTATGAGGTATACCAGGCTATTAAAGTTAGATCTTTTTAGAGAAAAAATGTTTATGGAATTAACATCCTCTCCAAAGAGAAAGGAAAAGAGTGTTGGAAAAAAAATTCAAAAATATATATTCCTTCAAATGGCAAATTGTGTCTCACTCACAAACTTACTTTTTCAAAATGTTAAAAATTTGAATTTCAACTATGTCAAAGTGTTTTGATCAAATTGTATTTTATTGAGTTACAAATATTTGCATCTCAGTTTTTAGATTTTCTGAGACTGTCCTTTTTGGAGGTGAAGACGGTTAAATGAGATCTTGCAGATTACTACACAGCAGATATAATAGCAATAATGAAATAAAAAAAAGTTACAAATTAAAAAACAAAAAATACATAAATATACAATTATGCATTAATTTGTCCATATAATTTTCCTTGTCTATTTTTTTTATCAATGTTTCAGCTTTAAGTGTCTGATACATTCAATAAATTTCAAGGAATACTGAATAGAACATGTTATTCAGTTCCTGAACATATGGTGTTCTCATTTCAACATGTGTCACATCAAATAAATTCTTTAGAAATCATCACTTCAGTATAGGAATGAAAATAGCATCCATCAGAGACTGAATAAAAGTTTCTATCTGGTATTCCTAGAAAGTTATTGAATGTGGCATACTCAAAGAAAGTTATAGAGTAGAGTGGACAAAAAACAGAATCTGCTGCAGACAAATAAATGTACTGACAGTCTCATGTACTCACATAGTAGATTTATAAATATATGTATCCATTTAAGTAATATGCCTTTCCCTGTATATGTGTTATAGTAAGAGAGGAGTGATGAATAAATGGACGGAGAAATTTGGAAGAGCATCATGGGAATAGGCTATGAAGAAAAAAAAAAGATGAAGCAAGCCTCTACACACACAAAAAAAAAAAAAGTTCAATAACACTATCTTTAAGAACTTTTAGTGGATTTATTGGCAAAAAATATACTCTTAAGAACAGAAAATTATAATTAAGTCAGTGTAAGCCATCTGGGAAAAGAAAAAATAGCTAAAGCTCCTTAGCAACAAATCTCAAGCTTAATTTTTTTCAACTGCAAATTTCTTATCGGTTTAAATGAAGGCAGCAGCATCAAATTAAGCAGTTATATTTGTAGATAATTTTACAGAACATTCTTAAAGTTAATGTAAAATTAGTCTCCCTTGAGTAGACTCAAACCCAACTTGATAGCATTCACAAGTGAAAAAAATTAAGTTTGTTTAAATTTACAGTGGGACTAAAATAAGCTGGAATGACATTTAAATAGTGAGACAAACAGTAAAGGATATTTATGAAAGACAAAATATTGCAATTTATTCTACATTTTACTTATATTGTATATTTGGGATTAAAAATAAATTACTTAACAGATAACTTATCAATTGGAGATGAGCATACAACAGTATTTTTCTAACAAATTTCAGAGTAACAATATTGATAAAAGTTTTTCAAAATATATAGCAAAATGTTTTGAGGTTTGTTAAACTGACCAAAATAGGTAAATTTTTATATAAAGAGTGAAGCTCTTCTCTCCATTTTGAAACATAATAGAAACAAGGACAATAAAAAAGATTACAATAAATTATATTCTAAAAATAGAGTAAGACTTTAAAAGTATTTTTTTACTCTTATTCCAATATTTAGACAATATGTCGAAAACTATTCAGAATAGTTGTCTACTTGAAGAACTCAAGCACTATATCCTTATTAGCAATGGTATTATATCTTAGATCCCAAGTGTCTCAATTCAAACTAAATTCTATAATACAAGGACATTTAAAGAGAATTAGTTTTCTAGTGGAGACAGAAACATTCACAATGAAAGAAAAGGAATAGAAGAAAAATTCAAAAATAAATAATGAATAAAATGTCTTTAGAATTGGAAGAAAGGAAATTTAGAGTTGAAAGTAGTAAAATTAGTTCAAAGGCCATATGCAATTCTTGAAATTTAAGTGGAGCCTTTTATTTGTTTTAAATAAATACAATAGGCTTTTGTACTTGGCTTATTATAAAGCAATAATCCTGTACTGACCAATTATTCAAATTAGAATCATATATGGTTTTTCAGAACTTGTCCAGCTTCCACAGAAACAATATAAATAATCACAATTTTCCCTCAATTTTACATGCTAGACACTGGAATTACATGGCTAAAATTGTCATGTAAATTTAAAACATTCAAATTATTTAGGGATAACTTAACATTGGTCAAACCATTAAAAAAAAAAGAATATAGTCAAGTACAAAACTATGTATTTTAATTTGCTTACAACAAACTTTAAATTTTCTAATCACATGACTTTGGTAAATGACTTGATAAGAATATTACCTGAATGAAAGTCACCTGTAGTTTATCCCCATTCAATCAACATAGAAAAAAAAATTAATTCAAAGCTTACAAAATAATTCTTGATATACAGCCATGGATATTTAAAGCACCCCAAACCAACCAATTTTAGGGACAGTTCCATCCACCTAAAAGAAAAAATGCCCTCATTAAAAGCAGTCATTAATAGCAAACTATGATTGAAATTGGCTCAAATTGGAGAGGAAGAAGCAGTTGTACACTGTATAAAGTGGATGGTTAACTGCCTAAGTGAAAGATGGCAACTGAATGGGAAAGAAGATGGCTGTTTTGTGTCATTTCTAAAGGCAGCAATGGTTTACAAAGACTGCTTCACTGAAGACAATTTGGCTTCAAGATTTGCAGTCCACTTCAAAATGTTTATAAATTGAAGTGACGTAAGCTATCACAGCCTGCCAATCAGGACGCTCCATAGCAACCATGTCATTGATATTCTGAAAGAAAAAAAACAAAAAAAACTATAAAATTTTACATGTATAATTTTAAAAATAGAAATAAATTAATGGCATTAACAAACTATTTTAATTGAGCAACTTATTTTTGAGAACAAGTTGTTTTATTTGATACAGATTTCTTAGAGTTAAATGTTTTATTTGATTCTATAAAGGGACTTTGTAAAAAAAAATTTAATTTACATTTTTTTTTTTTTATTTGTAATAGTTATTTAAAAAATAAAAAGATACCATTTTAGTTAATGGATTAAGATTTATTACAAAAAAAAAAATGAAAAAAAAAGTAAAACTGATTTACAAAGCAAGAACTCGAAAGTAGCTGTTTGTATTTACATAAATAGAGGAAAACTTTAGCTTCAAATTCAAAAGTTTCACGAGTTAAGCCGAATGAAAAATATGAGATTATCAAAGAATTAGTATTTCAAACCAGTGTGGTTTTACTACATTGATTTTTTTATGAAAATAATTAGTTGTTCATATTAAGCAATTGCTGACAATATACACTTTACTCAATTGCATACAAAATTTTCCTACTATTTTAACTTACCAAATTTGATGTAATATTCACAGATTCAGCAGCACTAAAAGACAAGTTAAAATTTCTCCGCTGGGGGGGAAAAAAAAAAAAATTGATTATTCAATGAATTGCAGTCTTAGGAGCATTTCAGAACATTATGTAAATGAATATGGTTTTAAAAATATATATCACTGCAGATTCAGCATAAGGTGATGTCGAAGCCCAAAGCAGATTCATTATAGGGCTTGTTAATATGTAAATGGTTGAGACACAGAAAATGGCTCCAGTATAAAGCCACCAAGTGGTTGCTATATTAGATTATTTGCTGATCTGAGAAAAGATAGTGGAGTATAGTTATGAAATAATGTGAGGTAAATATGACTTATTCATACAAGTGGTTTCTAAAACTTGTGGATTAAGACAGTTATGAGAACTAGAAGCATGATATTGACATGTGAACTTACTGAATTGAGAAAATGGCAATTACCTTTTCTTTAAGTGACAGAGCTAAAGAGGCACCATCTGAAGTTTGTGTTACTCTTTTGAAAAATGTAATCTATTTCTTCTTTATAAAGAATCTAAACAGTTTACGGCTTTCTACAACCTCTTCAATTAGTGTCAGTCAGTAGTGTAAGCATTGGTGTATTTTAAGCTTACATAAGATATAAATTCCCTGATTATTATGGCCCTTATTAGTAACACTCACCTTATGATACAAACTATTAAATTACAGATATGGCTTACATGAAATCTATTTTCAAGTAAATCTTTTTACACTGATCAGAAAGAATGTCCAGAGTTGTCCTCCCACCCCAATCTGAGGTTAAAATTTGACTTCTATTTTGTGCTGAAAATAATCTCATGAGGTGTTATGTTTATATAGGAGTTAGTGTTGGCATGGTTCTTCCAATGTAGGTCAGTTTGGTCACTTTCATTTCCAAAAGTTTATCAAGTTGATTTGTAATACATATATTAACATTCATTAACTAACAAAATTAATTCCTTAGAGCAGTGTGAAATTTGTGTTAAATTTAAGAAACCCTAGTAAATGTAATCAAACTGTCTTTGAATCTGAAAATATGAGGCAAAAGTTACTTTGTGATTATAAATTTAGCAATACATTTTTGTGTAGCAATTGTGTTTAATAAAAAAAGTGGTTTCTACTCTTAGCAAGTATTTTTCTGTTAGCAAACAATTTTTGTGCTCCCACCCCAATTCTAACAGTGGTTGTGAATTTAACAAGAGTGAGATGTAGGAACTGAGTGCGGCTTTTAATGACAGTAATGATAACAGTTGCAGAAATTATTGGTAACTTAGTAAACAATATTGGTACAAATACTAAATGTAATTTGGAGGTAGCTCTGGTTTAAGCTGTTTCTGCTCATAATGCTCTCACTAATAACTCTGAATTTTCTCCAAATCAGTTTTTGAGCATTGCAATCTGTAACTGTACCACCTACGTGAGAAGGAATTTGAATGCGTTGCATTTGGCCTGGAAATTTTTTTTTTTTTTTAAATTTGAATCTGATAAGAAAATCAAAAGAGCACCAAGGCATAATATTTGCAATATTAATGTATTTTACAAGTGAATGTCATGACTCGGATGTTGCAATTGCATGAGAAGCAAATATTAGAGCAACATGGTGGTATCAATGCTTGTGTTCCTTTGTGTTATCTGTCAAAGATATCAAATCACAAATGCAAAGAAAAGTATATGATTAAGTAGAAAGTAATAATGATAATAGCAATCATGAAGGACCTGCTGAAGATGATTATATGGAACAGGATTGTGGTGGTATTAATGACAACGTGACTGATGATAATGTAGTTGAAATGGAAAGCAATAAAAAACAAGATTATCATGTTGCTGTGGAACTGTTAAAGCTGAATAAAGTGATGATTTTACAATGTTTTTCAAAGAATAAACTGATACTGCTGAATATATTTCTGGTAAGATACAGAGTTGAGAAAGCTGACAAATAGAAACAGAAATAATACTGTTATTGATTCCCATAAACTTAGTGATTGGTCAGTTGTGTCCAATGATTTTGAGATGATTATGATGTCTAATAATGAAATTATGACAGCAAAGTATACAGCTGACAGTTTAGATATTTCTGAATGAATTTAGCACTATGAAAGTATTCATAAGAAAGTCAATCTGATGAGGCTATTAAAGAACATAATTCAAATTTTTAGGTTAATGTTTTAATTTTGTAGCAATTTATGCTGTTGGGTGAAACTAATCCTAACACAACTTATTCGATGTTCAATTTCCTTATGTCCTATACTAAATTTGTTATAAATGATCAATACACTGAGGTAAAGATGGGCAGTTTAACTGAAAAACCGACTTTTTTCGGTTTCATCTTCACACCATGAAACTGCATCAAATTTTTTTTACAAAACTGAAATCGTTTGGTTTAAGTGTTATCACTACTGAGTGACCATATTCAAAGAAACTCTATTGAAAGAGATCTTAATAAAATTTTATCAACATTTATACCATTGTAAGGGAAAAAGATTAAACAAAAATATGTTAAAAACATTTAATTGACTAGTTGTAGGAAATAAATGTGAAATTTATTTGTTTACAAAAGAAATGAAGGAAAAAAGGAAATATGACATGATGTCTGAAATGTATTTGTTTCAGTTTAAAAAAAAATTTTATGGTAAGATTAAGTTAACAAAATAGTGAGTAAAAATAAAAAATAAGAATATTGATAAAGATTGGTCCCTTTGATTTTTCTAAACAAAGTAACATGGAAAATTTAGTCTCCAAAAAAAATAAATAAATCATATTTCACATTTCTGGAAGTTCTGCTTCTACATCCTTAAAAGAAGCTGATCTTAACAGGATTTCAACCTGCAATGACATAACTGTGTAGACCAATGTAGGGTTTTAGCTAGAGCTCCTCACCTAGCGAGCAGATAGTTGTGGTGAGTTAGTGCCCTTTACACAGAGACGAGATGAATTCGTGCCCTTGCCACAGATACATTGAGTCCAGTCAAGAGAAGAGGTTAGAGCAAGACATACTGCAACCAACATCCAGAATCATACCTAGATGAACGAAGATATTCCTAGATGGTAGCTGACGACCTCACCTCACCTTAAGATAAAGGTAATAATTTTGTATAGTGCAAACGTATTGTAAGTAGTATGTTTATGTTATGTCATATTGTTGTAAAACAACAATATAACATGATAAATAAACGTTTATAAAAATGGTAAATGTATTTTAGTATCCTTTTCATTTCCCTTTAGTACCTCATATTTAGATGTTTGGAAACTCCTTAAAGTAGGGAGCTATTATAAAATATGAACTCGACATCAATTTCAATATGCATAAATTTCTGTTATCACTAGTTGGTAAGCTGCACAGAAGACCTGATGTTGGTGAATTAAGCATCTCTTACAACAAAGCAACTGTAGGTAATTTATTAAAATTGAAGTTGGTAATTTGTGTGACTAGTGATAATATAAAGTTGTCCTTCCTTAAAGTTTAGTTAATTATGTTCACTTGTATTATTCAGATGTTTTTGCTAAACTTCTCAAGAAGCTTTTATATTTTTAAAGACAAGATAGGCCAACACAATATGCTGGTAAACTAGAAAAATTTCAACTAGTTGTCAACATCCCTATCTGCTGATAAATAGTATTACTTGTATGTCCAGAGAGAGAGTAGTCTACACTGATTATATCATTTGGGAGATATTATACTGTTCTGTCAGAATTGATTGCATGGCAGATAAAACTTGGTAGATGCTCTATCCTCATCTAAAAGTGTTGAAGATGACTAAGGATGATATCAGCATTTTGCAAGACATGTTAAATGGTTTACAAAATACAACTTAGTCTATTCGTATTGCACTGGCATATGTAATCATGTAGCAGAAATAAAATCATGTATCAATGAGAAGTACTTAAGAATCTTTTTTATTTTTAATTTAAAGAGTTTAAAATACCTTATCCTCAGGAGTGAGTTCATCATATGGAATTTTATCTGGTAAGTAGCAATGCATCAACGCACAAAAAGCTAATCCATCATTCCAGCTACTACTAAAATTTGTTATATCCACACCCTGAAAAAAAAAAAAAAAAATAATGAAATCCTGTCAGTAATAGAAACAAAGGTGACAAAACAAACACTATTACTAAATAGATGTGTCAAGTTATTAATTAACCACTTGAGACTGGAATATTTTTATGCGACATCATAACAATGAAATAGTTGATATTTTGTTATTTCCAAATTGTCTTGAATCAAGATCTAATTCACTTCCAAAGTAAATAACCCAATACAAAGACATTTCTCAAGAGATATGTCATTAGCCACTCTGGAGAAATCATTGTTTTAACTGCTTTCATCACCATCTATAAATTATTTCAATTCATTGCCAGAGTAAGAAAACCAAGTGATTAAATATCAAGAGATACAAATCAAACAGTTTGAGAAAAATTTCACCTTACAGGAAGCAGTTTAAGGTTATTGGTTACTTTTAGGCAAGATAAGCATTTTTAGTAATGAATATACAAATGACAGAAATTTAAACAATAGTAGAATTATTTATTCTAAAAATATATTTTTACAGGCCTTTTAAACTATATATAAGCAAATATATTGTAATCTTCAAAATTAGCTTTTTTTTTTGCAAAGGAAATATTCATATGCATTTTAGTAGAGCAAATATAAGAAAATTACATTTAATAAAAATCAGGTCGGCATATACATATACTTCACTTACATTATAACTGAGAGTTTTCATTTGGCACCATTTCAGTAAAGCATTTCGTTTAGATCCTCCCATTTGTTTGGCAAGTCCAACCAGTGGATCTTTTGCAGCCATTTCTTTCCTTTCAAGTTCTGTGCTGTATACAAATAATAGAAAGACATTTAGAAATATTATTCTTTTATTTTTTTATTGTTTAGAATAAAAAAAAAGTTATACTTTGTGGTCAGCATTAGTGGTACAAATTGAGACAACATTTTGAATAGTAATTTTTAAGAAAGGAAATCTCTCTTCTCAACAAAGATTGGTGCAACACAAATGTTAAGCCCCATTTCTCCCATCTAGCCATATGCCAGATTAAAAAACAAGCTTAATAAATATGTAATGGTCATAATAATTGATTAGTGGCAGATGAAGTCTTTGTGCAGCCTTTAATCTTGATCTTTAATAGATCTAAAGAATTGTAAACTAGGAGAGAATATAGTACATACAGCAATTAAATACAAAAATTAATCAAATGGAAGGTTTCTCAAAAGAAAAAGAAAATATAAAAGCATCTTAAAAATAGTTTTTCCAAGTAATTCACTTATAAACATAAATTGGAATTAACTCTAAGAGAATGTTATGTTTCCTTTTAAGTAAATATTGAGATTATGTGGGCAAATTAAAATTATTAATTTTTTTTTCCTACATGCTTAACTATATACACTGAAGTGAATTTGTCTATATTAAATCACTGAAGACAAGTAAAAAGACTTGCAAGTAGCAGTGGTAATTTTAGAACATTGACAATAAGTCTTTTATTAAACATTTTAACACAGGTTTATTTTCTTCATTTCTAGATAAATTTCTAATTTTACATCTAAGTTTTCATGTAAAATTAACAGCTAGTTAAGATATAACAAACTAGTATCTAGAGTGAATTATTCCACTGAAAGACTTTTTAATGATTTTAAAATTGATGGAAATATATATATATATATATATATATGGACGCACACATAGAAATAAAAAATATAATGCTTATTACATTTGCATTTACAATTATTAACATGCCTAAGCATTGTTCTGACTTTGAGAAAGGCTAAGTCGCTGTGTTTCATGATCTTGGGCTGTCAAATAGAGCAACAGCTGATAAGATTAATCAAAGTGAGTTATGTGTCCGCAAGTTAATCAAAAAAAGAAATCAAACTGGAACATATATTAGACATAGCGAATGTGGTGGCTGCTAAAAACTACCAACAGGGAAGATAGAAACTTGGTTCATCAATGCAAAAAAAGACTGATTTACAACAGCACAAGATGTTTCCAAAGCGGCTAGTCTGGTGGTTTCTTCAAGAACAGGCTTCAAGCAAAAGGCATTGTTTCCAAATACATAAAAAAGAAACCTTTTGTATCTTTGGAGAAAAAAAAAAAAAAAAAAAAAAAAATTGGTGAGCATTGTTAACTTGGTGCAAAGCTCATTTACACTGGACTAAATCTGATTAGGAAGATGTTATGTAGAGTGACACTGAGGAGAGCCCCTTTATTCTTAGATATGAAGAATGAATATGGATTTGGTGTACGTTTTGAGTGCATTCTCAGCAGCAATAGTTGGTAATTTGTACAAAATTAAGAGAATCATGGACGAGCATCAATACCATAACATTCTTCATCAAATGTTGCTTTCTGCTAAATAAATTTTTTGCCCAAGGTCAATGCTTCATGTTCCAACACCATAACAATCCTAAGCATACTGCCTTAAAGAATAAATGTTATTTCGAGAGGAAGCATGACAAGGGTCAATTGCAACTCTTCCAGTGGCCTAGTCAGTCATGACCTTTAACCCAATTGAAAACCTTTGGGCAATAATGGACAAGCATACCTGTAATGGGAAAGTTAACACAGAAGATGAGCTTTTCCATGAATTAAAGAAATGCTGGAAAAATCTGGTGAAGTACATTGACTTAGTAAGGAATTTAGTCTATAGCATGCCATGGAGAATTAAGGTAGTTATTAAAACAAAAGGTTACCACAGTAAGAGCTAGCAGTGACATTCATGCACCAGTCTGCCAAGTGAAATCACCATGTTCATTTTGCAAGTTGCGAAATTTGTGGTTTTGTGATCACATGTATCCTGTGGCTTTGTCGAGGAGTTGGAACAAAGAGGCAATGTGAAATTTTGCATTCAACTTGGGAAGTCTGCTACAGAGACATTGAGCATGCTTTGGCAAGCCTATGGTGATAAGTCAATGGGTTGTATGCAATGTTTCAAGTGACCCATCCTTCATGTCAAGGATCATCTCTGGTGATTAGAGTTGGGTCTACAAGTATGACCCTGGGGCAAAGAAGCAGATGATGACACAGTGGAAGAAGGTACAGAAGTCACACAACTGAAGAAGGTACAGAAGTCACAGCATGCTCATCAATTTTTCAACATCTGTGGAATAGTGCATCAAGAATTCATCCTCCAGACCATCAATCAAGAGTACTACTGTAATGTTTTGAGTCATTTGAGGCAGGATGTTCAGTGAAAAAAACTAGATCTGTGTAGTGCAAAAAAATAGATTCATCACAATGACAATGCACCCTGTCACCAAGCTCTCCTCATTAGGGAGTTTCTAGCCAAAAATAACATTGCATCACTTCTGCACCCATCCTATTCACCAGATTTAGCACCTGTAGACTTCTATCTATTCAAGTTGAAAATACAGTGCAAATATCACCATTCTAATACTGTTGCCGAGATTCAGAGTGAATCACAGAAGGTTCTCGATTCACTTATAGAAAATAAATTCCAGGCTGGATTTCCAAAGTGGCATGAATGCTAGGACTAGTGTATTACTGTCCAAGATGACTATTTCAAAGGAGATGATATTAAAACTTAGGTAAATATATTAGATTTTTTTTAAAAAAACATAACTAGTCCAGGGACTTTTTGATACCACCTTATACATAGGACACAGTATAAAGAAAGACATCAAATTCTGGAGGATGTTGTAATAAAAGTGAAGCAGCCAAGATTAAATAAGGTATCTTTCTCCATAGGAGACCATATATTGTAGTAGGTTTATATATATAAAAAAAAAAAAAAAAAAAAAATTCAGTTTGACTATTTATATGACATCGCCTTGAGTGACTTGAAACTGGTTTCATCAAACATGAGAACGCCAGAATTAAAAAAAAGAAAAAAAAAAAAAATAGTTGCATACATAGTTACTTTTCAAGATTGTTCTAAGGAAGAAAATAATATAAAATAAATATGAACTTTGGCAAATTTACTGCTAACACAAAACACCGAATTTGGAAATTTGAAAAATCAAATAAAAAATTGATAGAATTTGTTCATATTATTTAACTAAACATGTTTGAAAGAAATACACCTTATGCATATAATTTTTTGCCCCTGTTATTAAGAACTGGAGAAAAAACCCATTTTAACTAAAAGAAATTTTCATGAACTGAATATGGTTTTAGTTTCTGAACTAATATCCTCCTTTTTTTTTCCATATATTTAAACAATAATTAGAAGCTATAATTTTGGAGAGTTAAAATTTCATTGAGACATATTGGAAAATTACCCAGTTTTGAAATTAAGAAAATACAAACTTTAAGCAAAGTGGTCCCAATATATGGAAAAATGTAGGAGTCCATTTGAGCTAACACCAAGAGGATATGGATTTAGAATAAGTTACGAATTTGGGCACTGTTAAATAAATAAATGATAAAATGTATAGCCTCTCACCAAACACCACTGTTACGCCGACTGTTACTTCTATTAGACAGAATGGAAGAGATAGAGGGTGAAACTTTTGATGCAATCTCTGTATCATTTCTGCTGGTCCCCTGGGGAATAGTCTTAAAATCTTTGTTTTTCTCAAAAGCTGTACTATGGGACTGCAAAGGAGATAATTTTTCTGCTGTAGGTTTCTTCAAGGCAGATTTGAGAGGTAATTCCAATGGACCTTGTCCAGTATTGTCAGTAGGGGATGGAGAGGATTTACCATCAGGGATATCATCAACTGGAGACAAAGGACCCTCAAGGGAACTACGACGTGAACTGCCTTGACTTGAGTGAATTGAAGATCCCCCACTTTTCACTTGATCCTCAATTGAACGAATTAAGTTCTTCACGGACATAGTTTGGTTTTTACTGTCCATTCTACGACCTTCACGAAGAGCAACAAGTTCTCGATCAACAGTATTGATCATTTTCCCTTTTAGTTCTGCTGTTGACAAAATTGGTTTAGAAGAGCGTTCTTCCCATGACCGCAGTTTTAGTCGATCCTGTTCATCTTTGGACTTGCTCAGCTGAGCCTGCAGAGACTTTACTTTCTCTTTCAATGAAGCATTCTCTGATGTCAGCCTCTCCATATCTTCCTGAGTTTCTGTTCGAAACTCATTAGCAATGACAACTGCCACTTGCAAGTCTTTCTGGAACTGCTTCCATTCTTCAGATTCCTCTTCATGTTTGTGATGTACATCATGGAGCTCAGCCTCCAAGATCATTTTCTGTCTGTTCATATCTTTAAGTTCTTGCTGGAGTTCCTGAATCTTCAAGTTGCACTTTTTAATGTCATCATGGTAACGATCACAGTCCTGTTCCAGCTGGTCAATATTGTCTCGTAAATGTTCCTTCTCTTGTTGGATATTCCCACGTTCTTTCTGAAGCTCCTCCATTTTATTTTCCAGTTCAGAGATCTTGGTTTTGGAATTGTTTTTCAAACCTTTCACTTCTTCATCTTTTGATGTTAAGATCTCCCGCAATTTTTCAATTTCACATTGGGATAATGCTAGTGATTCTTGAGTATCCGTGAGTTTCTCCTCAAGTTTGTCTTTCTCTTGACGTGTGGTATGCAGCAATTCCTCCAAGTCAGATTTGTCATGCACTTGCTGGTATTGTTCCAACTCAAGCACTTTAGATTTTTCATTTTCCAACATGGTCTTGTAACGCGTGATTTCTATCTGGTCATTTGACAGTGCCTGTTTCATTTCAGACATGTACTTCTCAGTAGATTTCTTGTCTTCTGTTAAAGTGTCAATGTCAGCTTGCAGAAGATGAATCCTATCCCGCAGAGCATCAGCAATGTCTTGAACCTCTCTATTCTCATTCACTGCCATCTGAAGTTCATGAGCATATTCATCCTGTTTACGTAGCATCTCCTCCCGCTCAATTGAAGCACCTTTCAAAAGATCAATCATTTGAGTCTCCCGTTCAGAACTGTTTACATGATTCCCATTAATAAGGAGAGTTTTCAGATGTTCAAGTTGTGTCCGGCAATGCTCAAGTTTCTCTGTTTGCGTGCATAATGATTCAAGGAGAACTCCTCGCTCATCAGCAAGTTTCTCATTTTCTTCTGTAAGCTCATTGACCATGTCTTGTAAATCCCCAAGTTCCTGCAGAGTGGCCTGCAATTCCTCATTGGTACTGTAGTGAGTTTCTTCCATTTGCAAAATACGTTCAGTGAGGCAGGCCACAGAAACTTCACTCATGGCATCACTGCTTTTATTACTTTGTTTATCCCAAGGAACATTATCAAGTGATAATTCTGAAGGGTGTTCAGGCGTCCTGCACAAATCAGCCAAGGTGAGACCAGGCTCAGATGCAGATACAGAGGCTGAACAGTCAAGGCCATGGTGCATCAGAGGATCTCGTAATGATTCGAGATTTGATAGGCTATCACAGCTTACACTTGATGGTAAGATAATGTCATTAGAACTTTCAGTTTTCAATGATGAGATCTGAGCTGATGCTTGTTTGAGCATTGACAGTTTTTCAGAGTCAGTAATTTGCTCAACAGGAATCCCCAGTTCCTTCAGTCTGTCTTGGAGGGATTTGTTCTGATTACGTAAGAGTTCACATTCCTCCTTCAGGTCACAGGGAGGAATTTGTTCCTTTAAGTTTTTTATTTCATATTTGTACTTTTCAATTTCAGCTTTTCGGCCTTCCGTGATTTGGATCAGCTCAGAGATGCGACTTTCTAAAATTTTCTTTTCTCGTTCAAAATTAGCAAGCAATTCCGCATTGTAAGCCATGACATCAGCTGGTGCTGAGGTCCTCTTTCGTAATGATTTGTCTTTTGTTACACTCTGTGAGCTATGAGCTCTTTTCATTGATTGAATCTTTGTGCCATGAGAAGCATTCTTGTTAACAACACTAGTTTTGTCTAAGTTCTGAGTACTCGATGCCTTCCGTATAGTTGAAGTAGTGCTGGTTGTAGAACTTTTTACAACTTTGGATGGTTTTGCAAAGACAACATTTTTTTCTTTTTCCTTTAGAACATTTTCTTTGTTACTGGTTTTCGTAGAGTCAGTCTTTGCAGCAGTAGTAGTAGTAGTAGTAGTGGTAGTTGTAGTAGTAGTAGTATTCAGCTTGGGTCGATCTGGTAATAGGGAAAGTTTCTTCTTTTGATGAACTGTGAGATTTTCATGACTTTTGCTGAGATATTGCTTCCCAAGTGGTGCCCCCATTGGCTTCTTACTCGTGGTTGAAGTTGAAATGGAACTGAGACCAGAATTTTCAGATTTGGATCGCATTGGACCAACAGTTTCGCCTGCAGAGGTAACAGGCCGTTGTTGGCCAACACTTTTCTCCTGTTTCTTCATTGTAAGCAATCTCTGGCCAACTTTCTACAATATGAAGAGAAAAAAAAAGAAAATTAAAAAGTGCATACAACAACAACTGAATTAGTTAAAAGAAATAAAACCAATTAAAATAATTGAAAGTTCTAAATAAAAATTCATCTTGGACATTGCAATATATGATTAAAATGTTCATATTCGTTCTTTACTAAACACAAAAACTTATAACTTGAAATAAAATATTTTAACATAAGTGAAAAATTAATAACAGAACCGTTTAGTTAATGATTACTGAAATCTGAGGGGGATGCATTCCATTTATGGCAAATAATATTTCACAACAAAGACAAAACAATCTAGTTCTTATTTTAGTACTGCTGTTATTGTTTGTCCTATTTTTGATCCTTAGATATGGGCAGTGGAAAGAGAACAATCTACCCCCATAGATTAAATAAAGGGTCTAGTTCGAAATTTCCTATAGGTTACCCATTTCAATATACACCTGATGAAGGCCAGATGGCACAATGGCTGAAACGAACATGAGGACAATCCACATGTAAATAGTATAAATAATGATAACACTGCATCCCAGAAATTCAAACAGAAACTAAGTTTATAACTGGAAAAAAACAGCAATGTTTTCAACATCAAGAGAATATATCTGAAAGTATAAATTTAAAAATAAAATAAATTGAATACAAAACCTATTTCTTACAGTCTTGATCATTGTTAAAATGTTTATTCATTTATTTAAACTGTTCAACTTTAAATTTACTTAAAATATTTGTTAGTAAAATGCTTTATTATATAAAGGATTACTTTTCATTAAGAACTTAAGAGTCAAGCAAGTATGAAACTTGAAATATCTGAAAAGAGTTTTAATAGATGACACCAAAATCCAAAGGTACAGTGGAATAGCAAAAATGCTTCCTAAAAGATAAGGAACATATTAAGAAACAAGAAATTTTCATTAGAAACAAAGAAAAGATTACTGAACTGCTATGTAATATCACTTCTTCTATATAGTAGTGAATTTTGGACAATTTCCTCTCAAATGAAGACAACGGATGTTGTTCTACAAAAGGATGTTGAGAATACCATGGACTGAACATGTGAGAAACAATAGAGTTTTAGAGAAAATGAAAACAAAAAGGACATTTGTACTTAACATCAGAAACAGAGATAGTTGAAATTTCCAGAGAACAAAGAGGGCTTGGAGAATTTGACACTCACAGGGCACAGTGAAAGCAAGAGGAGCAGAGGGAAACAGCAAATAACATACCTAACATGCTTGTGTAAATGGATGGCAGAACAGGAAGTGGGAGGAATAGTGAAAAAGATAAACCTTACTAAAGGCTACAAAGGGTGGGGAAGTTGTGGAGAGTCATGATTGTCTACATTCTGAAGGGACATGACACATAGAAGAAGATATATGTACTATTTCAGTAAAGATTTGTTTAAGCTGTTTGTTTACTTCAGTTAATAATAGCTAACAAAACATTAATTAAAATAAAACTGTAATAGGCAAAATACTTCATAATTATATACAATGAAGTAATATGAGATTTCTCATTTCAACTTTTTTCTTTGTTTTTTTTTTTTTTTACATGATATTGATTGGTGTCAACAATCTGAGAATTAAGGTATTTAAACTAGAAAGTACATTATTTTTAACGGTAATGATAACAGAATTGTCATACATAGCAAGTAAATAGGATAAATTTTGGAAATATTTTGAAACTGGCTTTAGATTAAAGAAAGATTAGAGTACAAACTAAACTCTGCAACATTTCTTAAAATACACAATATGTGAAAGCAGATATATAAAAAAAGTAAGTATTTGATCAGTTAGAATTGTCCCTGACAGTTCTAAAATAGTCACAAGCCCAATATTAATGAATTAGGAATTATGAAGCATAGCAAGACCAGTTATACAAAATTTACAAATCCAGAACACAAGCAATTGTCAAAGGTTAAATAGGCTTATAACTTCATGTATATTATATTTTTAAACTTTTAACTATAATTAAATTGGCTAAGTATAGCATCATAAATTGTATATCACACTTCCAAAGACTATCAGAAAATTGATTTTGATATTTTTTTAAAACTAAAATAAACAAAGTGCAGAAAAATAAAAGTATGCCATTTAAGTAAATGTATATTTAAACAAAATACACATCTCAGTGAAATTGATAAAAGAGAGCAAACAAGTGTATCTTATACTGTATACCACAGTTATTTGCTAAAAGCCTATTTTTTCAAGATTTAATCTCACTTCTACTTGATTTTTTTTTTTGGGGGGGGGTAGTCTATTATACAAGTGTGTATTGAAATGTTCTCCCCTCAACCAAGAAACTCTTTAAAAATAAAAGAAATCTGCAGTTTGTCCAGATTTTGTGAAGTGGGTTGGGCTGAAAACTTATCACCACATATTTTGGGATATTTTCCAGAATAGCAGCAAAAATAAAATGTCTGAAGATGATTACACCTTAGCCAACAAAGTTTTCTTATTCAAAATGTTAACTATTTGGTTTATGGTCATTAAAAATTTAAGATTTGCCATGAAGACCATGCTTTTAGAGTTTATTTTTCAAATTTTTCATTGTCAGAAATGAATAAATAAATATCTTGTATCTTATAGGCTAATATAATACTAAATACAAAGCACACATTTTTTTTCCAATGAACATTTTAATCTCAATGGAGATAAATTCTTTTAAATAATTATATAGTAATCATTAAAACAATCACCTGTATGAAACAAGAGGATTAAAAAAAAGAACTGAGATTTCTAGTAGTTAAAAAAATTATGGAAGACACATGAACAAACAAAAATAAGTTTAATATAATAATGTTTTTCATTTTAAATATTGACCCATCTGGTAGTTATATTCCTTTAATGATTATAAAAATATTAGTAAACTACTTTTTGTTTCTCATTTATGAGAATGCTATGTGTGTATGTGTATTATATATATATATATATATATATATATATATATATATATATATATATATATATATATGTCATCAATACTGTATAAGGGTAAATGGTTAGAAGTTGCAGATACATTAGTCTACCTTGGTAGTACATTATCTAGATCCAACACATTTGACAAAGATCTCTTATAGACTCTCAAATGTATGTGATGCATTTGGTAAACTGGAGTCAAGGCTTTGGTTACAATCCAACATAAAAGCAACAACAAAAGTCAAGGTACATCGTGTGTGTGTTAACAACTATGCTATACAGCTGTGAGTCATGGACAACTTATCACAGGCATATATAGCACCTTGAGCACTTTCATTGGTATTATCAGTGTAATCTCCTAAAGATCTCATGGCAGTCACATGAGCCTGATACAAGTACTGCAGTTGGCAAGATTGGCAAATATCAAGTCCATGGTTATGAAACACCAACTTAGATGGTCTGGTCACCTTGTCCGCCTAGAAGACTCACGCATGCCTAAACAGGTTATGTATGAGGAGTTAGAACAGGGAAATGACCACAGTATAATTCCTGCAAACACTATAAAGAAAAGCTGAAGGACACGCTAAAAACATTTATAGATATAGACTCCTTGAAAAATTGGCAAACATGGAAAAATCTGATTGCTACTGGTGTAAAGATTTTTTAAAAATAGCAAGATATAATATGCACAACAAAAACGTGCAGGCATATATATGAGAGGCATCAACCCTCTTTCTGAATGGAAATCGAAGGAGTCTCTTACATGTGATCAATGTGAGTGCATTTGCTTTTCAAAAGCAGCTCTTCTCAGCCACATGCAGAGTCATTGTGATGCCAACTACTAATATGACATCCCCAATGATCATACCTGTACAATCTACCATAAAGTGTGTCAATCAGCTAGTGAACTCACATGACATTTCCACAGCCAGCATCCAAGAAAGGTAAGCTACAGAGAAAGACTGACATGTCAGCAATGTAGGAAGAACTGCAAGACTCTTGTATGTCTTAAAAGCCATTTGAAATGTCATAAGTGACAAAGTGATGATATTTAAATTGTGAAAAATTAAGAATGTTTGAGTGCAATAGATAGTCTTACTGGATCAGTAGTTGACTTCCACTGTGTGTATGCGTATATAAGAGATCCTGGATTGCCTACTTAACTCTTTTGGCATCATTGATGGATAATATCTTGAGAGAGTGCAACATTTTGTCTGTCACTTGATCATAATGTTATCAAGAAAGATTTATAAACTCCTGTGATGAAGCAAACAATAGGGAGTAAATAGCACTGTTTTTTAAGTAAGATGTAAATTTCAAGCCTTACTTGGAATCACACTAATGATACTACAGCTAAAAATATATCACTGTTTTACCAAGATACTAAACAATGTAGTACAATTAGTTAAAGGTAACAATACCTTTATCCCATAATAGTTGCTACATTTAGTATGTGTAGGCAAATGTAACAACCATTATAGTATAGATGTACTTTTTTCTTTTTGTTTAAATAAAGTTTATAAAATGTTATCTAGTTATTTTTATATTTAAATGAACAGCCAATTTGATCTACATATTAAATGTTACAAAGAACTTTTGGGTTCACTAGCAATTTTTCTTTGTGACAGTTTTAAAATAAACACTGACCAAGTAAAACACAACAAATGAAATTGGTTTATAAGCTCCCAGAAAGAACATTAAAAAGACAAAATAGTTATGTTAAGCATATCATTTGGCAGGGTTTATTGCCATTATATTTTAATAAAAACAATAGGAGAAAGGGAAAAAAAGAAATGAACTTTTGAAGCATGAACATTTCCTTTTTCTATTGTTAAACAAGTGCAACTAAGGTTAAACATCAAAAATCAAACAAAAGGCATACCTGTAAAATGCAATAGATGACAAGTATGTGCATAATCAAAAAGTTTTGAGGTGCATGAGAATTTCCTTAGATTAAAAGGTCAACATAATTATAAACACAAGAGATAGAATTTAGTGATGAATCAATATCACCAGCTGATCTCTTGCCAACCTGGCAGACAGACGATTTTTTGCACATGTAGTTTACCATGTA